TTGCCGACCAATCTCCTTCTGGGGAGCAGAGGAACCATTGTTCCATGCTCGTCCTCATCGCACAGGCAATCGAGGCGTTCCTCTCGTCATAGCGGTTTCCAACCAATACTCTTAACATTCGCTCATTTATCGCGATCGCCGCCGCCAATTCTCTCGAGTGCTTCTAGCATGACGACTGAGTTGCCTCGTATGACCTGGCAGGAAAGATGGGTGTCAGCAGGCGCGCAAAGCTTTGGCGTACGAGGGGAGCCCGGCAAAATACGTACGACCATCCCTAACCGGACCTTCTCGCCACCATCCTTCTCCTCCACAGCGTCGTCTAAAACGATGTTTAGGAAGACCTATCAACAGGGTCAGCTCTGCATAGCTATTGCGGCAGCGTTGGCTGGGGGCCGACCTACATCGTAACCGCGGAGGACACCGATGACTTTGCGGCTGCCATTTAACTGGACAAAGAGTCTCTTGTCAAGATACTACGGGTGTGGTTAGCAGGGGATTCACAGCGGCGGCGGCGCGTCGAGGTGGGCGGTGAGACCTACCTTCTTGAGCTCTGGCTGTGCGGGCGCCATTTTGTCAAGAGGATTAGGGGAACGATTTGCGACGCGGTCTTGCGGGTAAGTATCGTGATCGAAAGTGAAAGGCTTGCTGATGAGGGCGCGAGGCTAGCTTCGGTGTCAGAGAGGGATGGATATTAAGGCACTTCCAAAGCATTGGGTTTGGCAGCGGGCATCACATACCAAAGGCAAGCCAAGTTCGGTAGAGAGCTAAGTACATACCTTAGGTACCTGCAGGTGCCTGCCTAGGTTAGATATACGTACCTACCTACCTAAGCCCCCAAGGTACATCTTGCACCTTGCGATAAGATAAGCTATGCGAAAGCGGGAGATAGAAGCTTTATCGATAAGGCACCGTTGCCTGCCGCTGGGCCCTGCACTGTAGACTGTCAACCAACCAATTCACCTCGTATCGCGCAACTCGGCGACCGCGTGTCAAAACTCCACAGCTTCTACAGATACAGCATCTACCAATGTAACGGATGCCCAGAGTCTCGCAGTCGACGGCGGGACACAACCACCATGAGCTCGTTCGCGTCCAAGAGAAAAGCCCGCAAGATCACCGTACGAGACGACGACGACGAACAACACGAGCCACCCTCGGTCGATTCGCTAAATCCACCGCCCGAAACCCAGGAACCAGCCCTACAGCCTACATTCAAGACCCGGAAACCGTTCAAGCAATCGGCACTGCGCAGAACCGTCGCCTTCGACCATGAGACCCCCGAAGAGTCCGGTGGCGAGACCAAGACGTCACATAGCGCAGATGACAACAAGGACCAGGACGATGATGGCGCACCGGTGGTAGTGCGGCCCTCAGCTGCCAGACCAGGCGGAACAAAGCTCAAGAAGCGACAATCCAGCTCGAAGCTTTCTTTCGGACCCAGCGAGGTAGCAGGCGACGGCGACGATGACGCCATGGTCTTAGGCGAAGGCGCTTTCACGCCCAAGAAGTCCGGTCTAGCAGCCTCCGGCATCTCCAAGGGTCTTTCTCTCGGTCGGCTGCCCATGCGGTCCATGGAAGATGACGACAACCGGCCCCGGTACAGCAAGGAGTATCTCTCCGAGCTCCAGTCCGCAACACCCAACACGCCGCAAGATCTTTCCAAACTCCATATCACAGGGGCAGAAGACGACGACGAGATGTCCCTCGACCCGTCGGAGCTAGAGGGCGCCATGATCGTTGACACCGACACACCCACCACGTCTCTGACCTCTGGCGCGCCAGCGACAACGTCAGTACTTACTGAAGCCGAAATACGCGAGAAGAAAGAGAGGCGGGCGCGTCTTGCGAAACAGAAGAAAGGCATCGTCGGCACAGAAGACTTCATCTCGCTATCCGACGATAACGACGACGAGCGGCACACAGGCGACTCTTATCTCGCCGTTCTATCTCGGAAAGGCGGCAGCAGCAAATCCGACACTCGCCTTGTGGCCGAAGACGAGGATTTAGGCGAGGGCTTCGACGACTTCGTCGAGGACGGCGGGCTCTCGCTCGGCCGGAAAGCCGAGCGCGAGGCGCGCAAGCGCCACCGCGCCGAGATGGCGTCCCTGATCTCGGCCGCCGAGGGTACGGGCTCCGACGGGGGCTCCGACGCTGGCGCAGCTTCGGACGACTCGGAAGCCGAGCGGCGGGCGGCTTTCGAGGCGGCGCAGACACGCGCAGGCATGGACGGGCTGGCCGAAGAGCGCGAGCAGCAGCGGAAGCGCCTGGGTGCGCGCGAGGGGGTCGTCCCCGTGCCCCCCAAGATCACGCCCCTGCCGGACCTCAGCGTCCTCGTCGAGGCGTTCAAGGCGCGCATGAGGCAGAAAGAGGCCGACCTGGTCCGCATGCGTGCGCACACCGCCCAACTCAAGACCGAGCGCGAGGGAATCGTGAGGAGGGAGCCGGAGGTACAGCAGATGTTGAACGAGGCTGGAGAGAGATACCGGGCGCTCATGATGCCAGGTGGAGAGGGGAGCGCCCCGACGCAGACAAATGGGGAAGGAGGAACCGATAATGGAAATGGTTATGGCGCGGACACTGCTACGGCGGCGAAGACACTGCTGGACCAGTTCAGAGATGGTGGTGGTGGACCTGGGACGCCTGGAGAGCGAGGCCTGGAGAGTCTCGGGACGACGCCTGTGAGGCAGCGGACGCAGATGGAAGTTGATTGAGACTTATGATACCCCCGTTTCAGTATATGACGATACAACATACAACATGAAGATATTTATTTAACTTGATAAATGACGTGAAGGTCACACGCAATATGGCAAGGGAGAGAAACATGATAGCAATCCGTGTCTTCTTCTGACTCATATCTCTATTTAATATGACAAAAACTATAGAACAGGCCTTGGTTGATCCCACATATCCCAGGAACCATGGTGAGAGTTGTAATTAGTTATCAGTGACAATGACAATGACGATGCCGCCAAAAGTGCCTCTCGTACCGGTTACATATTGATACACTGCTTCGCTTACCAACATAGACAGGTCAGTCAAAGCATAGTTCTTCCTCCTGCTGTGCTGGATTAATGCTAGAGCTAGAAGACCCGAGCCGAAGGCTTTGGTGGCCTGGCATCTATATACGGAGTCTCCCTCATGATGCCGTCAAGACTCATGATTGATTGTTACCTCCATCTTACTTACTTTGACCTCGAAACACCTGCGCCAATGACACCGGGCAGCTTCTCCTCGCCCACACTGAAGAGCAAACCGATGGAAAAGGTGACGGTAGCCACCAGGGCGATGGTGACGCCTGCGAAGAGCCAGAAGGGGGTGCTGACATCGCGCTTCTCACAGGTAGCACCGCCCCAGTAATAGACGCCTTTCTTGCCCTTGGGTTGCGGCTCGATGGTGCTGCCGCAGTGGCAGAAGAAGCAGCTGTTCTTGGTGTCATCCTTGCCCCAGCGGTCGACGCACTGGCCGTGGCCGGAGCACGACTCGGTTGCGTTCTCGCACGCGCTCTTGGACTCGAAGCAGCTGGGGATGGGTGTGGGACGGCCGGCGAGGGGGTTGTAGGCTTTGTCCTTGTTGCTCTTGCTGTCGGAATGTGTGCTCGAGACAAAGGTCGCATCGGGGCTGGCTGGCGAGGAAATAACTTTCTCCTTCTGGTGCAGCACTTGGCGACGGTGGACCTCCGAATCAGACGAGGAGTCGAGGAAGACGATAGTTGTCTCCATGAGACCCTCGTTGGCGTAAGACTTCAGCGCCGCCAGGTTGATGCTGAGCTGCTTGACGATGTCACTGTCCTGTGGCGCAGGGTGTTGTCAACATATATAGTCCATAGTCCATGGGCCTGGGAGCAGAGCGTGTCGGATCTGCTGCTATATCATACCTTTTTCACATCATATTGGAGATACTGCGTGTTCCCACTCCAACATTTGCTAGCCTCGCTTGGTCTTGGGTTGATGGACGGTCCAAAGGCACAGTCAGAGCTGACCTCGGCGGGCAACCGACCAAGGCCAGGCGCCGTGAAAGCAAGCGGCACACGCGGTATAGCGGCCTTGAGCTGCTTGTGCTGGTCGGAGTCGACGCCGGAGAAGGCGATGACGAGCTGCTTGGGCTCGCCCCCCTCGGCACTGTCGAACAGGGGTCGCGAGGGCGTCGCGAATTCGTTGATGTAGGAGATAGCCTCGTCTTGGCCCAGCGATTCGGGCATGTGGCCGAGAGCGGACGGCCGGTCGGGCGAACTGAGGCGCTGGAGGAGGATGGTCTCGGCGAGGGAGTGTGGTATCGATGGGGCGTTGGACGACGATGTGGTCGGCTTGGTGTGTCTGAGCATGTATGCCTCGGCGTGTTCCAGCGGTGCCGGGTCAGCAGCGACCGCGACACCCGCGATTGCTGGGACGAAGAAGCTGTTGAGCTTCATCTTGGTCGTGAGCCTGTGACTGATCGCCAGCGACTTGATGATGGTGGCGATGACGGGGATGGTGATGCTGCTGCTGCTGCTGTCTGACTGAGGTGTGGTCGAGAGCGTGTACGACGATGCAAGGCTGATGCAGCCTCTAATTGATTATACCTAGAGGCTAGGAGGTACCAGCTAAGAGGTCAGGAGCTTGGATGCGACTCGAGCACGTCCAGGTAGAACTAGTACCAAGGTACACGCTACCTACAGGGGAGATGTCGGGAGTACCTACTGCAGTGATAATTACCATGGGCACTGGGCAGTTCCAGGTGCCCGGAGCATCTGAAACGGTTCTACCTAGGTAGGTACCTCCTAGATAGAAGCCACAGAACTGGACCCCTATGACCCCTACTACCGCCGCACCTGTGCCACCGTAATAGCTGGATAGCAAGTACATGTTTAAACCTGCAATCCGAAATTGGAGATATATTCCGCTATTACGCAAAATAGAATCCAGGAATGTTTTATAGCCACATTATATTTTCCCAGAAAAAGATCAAAAACAAATATGTAGAGAGAGCAACAGTAGACAGACAGCAAAAGAATTATCTTGTGATGTGAGCGAGGTTCGAACTCGCGCGACTTTCGTCAACAGAACCCTTGTACAACTTAAGTCTGTCGCCATAACCACTCGGCCATCACACCAAAGCATTTTGCAGCCAGGCAAGCTGCGTTTGCCCAAACCTAATCGAAAAGCATACTATATTCCCAGGAATCATCCAGCTCAGAGAAAGAACAACTGAGAACTTCTAGTGAATGAACGGGTCTGGGCAAGCACAGGTCCGGTCTTTCATGAGATACTTATATCTTTTTCGCCGTTAAAGACTAATTCTGCCGTATTATATGGCATACATCAATTAGCAGGAGCACATGTTGGCCACCTTGCCCCTTCCTGGACCGAGACAAGCCACTTGAGAGACAGCGGTAGGTGAGCTAGGTACCTCCTACCTAGGTACCCGTCGTTCTCCAGATCGGTCCCCCATTTAGCCACGCGCCCCAGTCGAGCCCAGTTAGTCTCCAGGGCGCATCCCTCCCTCAAGACCCGTCCATCCTTCGCGGGATACGTCAACCTAAAAGTCAATATTCGACATTATTTTCCTCTCTGTCGCAACAACTGATTATCTCGACTCCAGCTCCCGCCAACGCATCGAGGTTTTACCACGCCACGATCCACGTCGTCAACAGTCCGCCTCGTCTTCGCTGCTCCTCCGTGCCTCGCACCCGCGCGAGAGTGTCTCCTGCCTCCGGCCGCCGGCCCCTGGCGTGCCTCTGAAATTTGCCCGTCATGTTGCGATTACTCCGGCCGCGGGGGAATCTCCAATCTATTGGCCTTCGAACAGCGATTGCACGGACGACTGTACGGACGACTGCACGGCCGCGGTTCTTACATACAGAGCCCGACGTCGTGCGGATACAGCACGTCAAGTTCAAGAGGAAAGGGCCCAGGATTCTGTACGTCGGCATTTTCCCTCGTCCAGAGGGCTTGTACTGACCCATGAACCGCAGCAACTTCCTCATATACGCCGGCGCCGGCTATGTATTCTACGAAGTCATCACACGAACCTTGCTCGCCTTGGTGGACGAGTCGGATCTGGAGCTGACCGAAGAGGAGCGCCGCGAGCTGGAGGAAGACGCCGAAGTGCCTTTCTTCATACCCTTCCCAGGCTTCACCCAGATAGTTGACCCCTTGCCATATCGCGGCACAGACCCAGAATGGAAGGCCTACGTCCGAGTCAGCCGCGATTCCCAGCTTATGCAGACCATACGAGGTGCGCATCAAATACGGCATCCGCCAGGTCTTTGTCGCGCCCGTGTCTCGCTGACAGATCTTGTGAATGAATAGATAACCTAGCCGAGCTGGCCCGTCTCGCCGTTGCGCATCATCCTCTCCACGCCAAACTGGGCCATGAACTCGTCATCCACCAGTATTGGCTCGATTTGCTATACCCTTCAAAGCCACCGCCGACCTTCGTTAGACAAGGGTACGGCCTTCCCCCCACTGCCCTCGTGCGATGGCATGTTTGCTGACTTCCAACAGCCTTTGCTTTGGTGACGGAGAGGGCCTCCGATGGGGCACACAGCCTGTCGATACGCGGGCTGCCCTGTGGACGAAGCAAGCCCTCGCACCAACCGCCGTCGCGTATTCGTTAGCCACGTTCATGGGTGAACTGCTCAAGCAAAACGCCATGATCGTCGCCAAGTTGTTCGGGTACGAGACCCAGCCAGATTCCGTGGCCAACATGCAGCAAACCATCGACAGGATCCAACAGCAGCTCAAGAAGCAGTCTGGAAAGCCCGATGCAGCGCAGCCGTCTGTATCCTCACAAGGACAGACCAGCAACGGGTCGTCTGCGGCTCCGTTTTCCCCACTAGACGGCAGAACTGCGGGCTCTACGAGAACACCTGAGAATGGAGGCGCCGGTGCCGGTGTCGGCGACGCTCTTCCCACCGTGCCCAAGGCGAAAGACATGTATATGGTTCGTACGACGCAAGACCATCTCAGTGGCCCCTGGGCCAAGTTCAAGCACGCTCTGGCAAAGAACTGGCGCAGTCCAGGCGCCTTGCCCCCTCGAGGATCGATCCGTGTCTCTGGCTTAGTGGAAATTATGACACCGCGTGCTATCATCACAGTCGACTGTTTCGCATGGTGGGATCCACAAACCAGGAAGTTCGACCCGAGGACCACCAAATTGGCACTAAGAGCTATTCGCCCAAGGAAACAGTCACCTCTCAGGTAATTCTACGCGGCATTAACAAGTATTAAAGAGAGGATAGCGGCACTTACAGACAGTATGGTGCTTGGTTTGCTTGGTATGTTACAATTCGGCGTTGGGAAAAGATAGGCATGGAACTGGCGGCGAATTTGCATAGCGCTGCTCTTTCCAATAGGGTTCAAGATGGTGACCCGACTCACGTATAACGGCCGTAACATGGGCATAGTATAGGTCAACCTTGATTTGTGTGTTTCTTGTGATAGATGAATATGTTTTGGCCGGCGAACTTTGGAACATTGAACAACATAACGGTTCCACACGGTAGATACCATAGATTAGGGGAAGGAATTCAATATTGTCTGCTAGCGAGCACTTCTGACCTATCATCCACGCATCGCATCGTAAGTATCCCACCATTCAACCACAAATTCCACCCCTCCTCACAATTTCCCCTTAATCTTCACATGCTTCGACGCAAACTCAATAGCAGCCGTGTATCCATACGTCCCCAAGCCACAGATGACGGCAACGGCCTTGTCCTGGAGGTAGCTGTGGTGACGGAACTGCTCGCGCGCGTGGACGTTGCTGACGTGTAGCTCGACGAAGGGGATCTCGACGCCCAGTAAAGCGTCTCTGAGAGCGACACTCGTGTGTGCGAGGGCCCCTGGGTTGATGACGATGGCATCGACACTGCCTCGCGCACGGTGGATTCTGTCTATGATCGCGCCTTCGTGGTTCGACTGGAAACTCTGCAAGGAGATTCCCAAACTGGACGCTTGCGTCTCGGCTTGGGCTACTACGTCTGATAGCGTGGTGGTGCCGTATATGTCTGGCTCGCGGGTGCCGAGGAGGTTGAGGTTGGGCCCGTTGAGGAGGAGGATTGTTCGTGACATTTTGTGATGTGGGAAGCCGGGCTTGTATACCTACCTAGGTAGGTAGGTGTGGTCTGGGGGTTGAATAGCGCTGGGAATACGTGCGTAAATTTCATGCCAGAGTCAATTCGCTCAAACAGAACTATGAACGAACCAGACTTATGGGAGTTATATACACAGTTGCCGTCAGTACACCTCCGCGAGACACATATTGCTGGAGTTTGGGTTGGGAAGTGCAGATCGAGATAATTACGTTGACGAGTCCTCCAACGCTCTGTGCTAGTTGGCGCGGAGAAGATTTGGGGATAAAGATTGATCCGCAACAATTACAACTTGGTCCCATGAAGGATTTTGATAGTCCTAATACGAAAATCACCGTCCCTTTTGTCCAGAACTGGGGAGGTTGCCAGTAACTCCAAATATGTGCTTGACAGTTTGCATAAACGTCATGTCGTAAATGTGGAATAGACAAGTTTGATGGTCAGACATCGTTTTCTGACTCTTGCTCCGAACATAATAAATAGCATGGGTTGATGCAGAAAAAAGACGAAGAAAGCTGGCTGCTGATCGAGCGTTTGGGCTGACTTGATGTCTTGCAGTTCCCTCAAATGACCCAATTCTGATCAATTCAGATTTAAGCCATGAAAGCTCGTGTGGTCAGTCTGCGCTGATTTTATTTTTATTTTTGACTTGACATTTTTCTCAACTGTCGAATTGCGTTTGTGGGTTTGTTACAGCAACGATTTTGGTTCTTTTCTGCTACTAGATGTTTGAGAAGTAGGTATGTCATATTGGTGAACTTGAGGCATTGTAAGTAAACCGCCCGTCTAGGCCTGTTCCTGTATTTTGGCGCCCGGGGATGCATGAGAACCCCGCTAAAGAATTTGATAACGATATATTGAGTTTCTGTCTGAAAAATGCATCGACATCCCGCCTTCGGATGATGCTGTAATGGATCCGAGATATTGTTGGAGAGCTGTACGGTAGTTATCCTGGTATGGAATTTTCTGCCAGCCTTGACAGGGTACCTAATTCGGGATTCTTTTCCCGGAATAAAATACTGCTAGGCGGGCATTATGGGCATCGGTGGGGAGGTGGGTTGGCTACAATATTGGCAGCTTCTTTTGTCATATTTTCAACCAGTAGTGCTACCGAATATCGCTCAACAGCTTGAGATATCAGGTAGGCGGCCACCCATCTACCGCCAAGTTCTCTCGGAGCCCTTGCACCTTGCCATGAAATCGCTTTGGACCACATCATGCGACGGACATATATCAAGAGCAGGTTCAATGAGCGGGGTCTGAGCGCAAACGGTAAAAGTACCGGCTTTCCGCTTAACCAAGCTCAGTCCCAACTAAATACGGGACTTGAATTTTTGTGTCGAGGTTGTTTTCTGTGTTTCAATACATAACCTAGCACAGCACTCATCAGTATCCGAAATGCCTACTGTGACGTTTCCTGGGCGGCCGCTCGTGTCATACCCGGGATTGAGACTGTTTTATCAGCTTTTCAATCTTGGCACAATCATCATCCGTCTGCCTATATGGATAATTCGTTACTCTTTCCAAAATGGAAGACCGGTCCCTACCGTGAGTGATCCTCGTTTAGATGAGATAGTGCCATTCTAAATTCAACTAAGAAACGTTGGTGCTCCGACGAGTTCAACATCCTAGAATGTGTGTCTGCTATTAATAGTTGCTGAATTTGAATATTGTAGTGGAGCTTCAAAAAGTCACTCGTAATGCGACTCTTCGGCGAGGCGCTCAGAATGTGGTCCGAAACAGAGCCGCCGGTGCCGCTGCCGCTGGAGCCTGGGGGGGAGAAGGACAGATGGGAGATAATCGAGCCGTTTCCCAAGGGCATGTATCGCGGACCGCTGGAAAGTAAAGACGTCGAGCCCGCCATCATCGGTGGCACGTGGTACCCGGAAAGACCGGCGGATCCTGCCAAAGCCGGGCCGATCATTCTTCACATCCACGGCGGGGCATTCGTCCTTGGCGATGGTCGGATTAAGGCATCGGGGCCAATGTTCGACCTTCTGTCGAAGCACGGGGAAACC